GGAAATACATAAGGCTTTGACGTCGGGTTATACACCCGTGAAAAGTGACTACATGCACGAACACACTTGTGCACCAGTGCTCATTGTGTTTTCCTGGACAGTAGCCTGCATGACTTCATTTCCCCTCAGATGTGTGCAAGACACAACACAACACACACACACAACATCCATAACCCATGCTTCATCCCAGCCTGCCTGGTCAGCTTCGCCATTCTGCTGCTAGGCCTCGAGAGCTGGCAGAAGAGAGTACAGTGGTCTGGTTGCAGGCTGGGGATGAGGGAGGGGGGATGGTTGGGGGAGAGGGGTGGCATTTAAAGGGGATGCGCACAGGCAGGCGGGGAAGTGCACAAGTGAATAAAGGAAGTGAGGTTCAGGCGCACCAGCGTCCTCCCACTAATGGACTCCCCTTGGATCACGGTTCTGTTCTCTTCCCTGAGCAGAAAGATTGCCTCACACATCCCCCTCAGAGACATGGAGTACAGATACACAGATCACAGGCAGTATTAAAACAACTGGCTGCAGAAAGGGACTTTTAGCGTTTTAGCATGGCAAGTTTTGCAGCCACCGTAGTTCCTCCTACACTTAACAGCCCGTTTTCATTCCCAGGTTGTGAAATACAGATGCCAGCAGTGTTCACTTAGTTGCACTTTCACCGCTAGATGCAGCTAAATCCTACACACTGGTCCTTTAAGGAAACCCTTTTCTGTTATTGAGTACACAGACCTGACTATATTCAATGCATAAAAAATAAAGGTACATAACAACTGAAACTGTACATTTAACCCAGATAGTGAATGCAATAAAGTGTAAATGTGTGTGTATCTCAGCTATCTCTCGCAGCTGTTTCACAGTAACGGCTAATGTGATCAGCATTATTTTCTTCATTGGAAGCTTTTACTGTGAAGGAGCTTTCAAGGCAACATGAAAGTGATGAAAGTTAACTAAGCATGGTAATAGTGTAGTAATGTTAAAACTGAAATGGATTGAATAATTATTGTAAAATTTGAAAATATAGAACTCGACATGAATAAATCTCTTGGGGTGTCTATTTCTCACAGGTTCACGGTATTTTGCGCCGTTCCAGCTCCTTCAACACGGGTCGAATTGAGCATCTTTACCAGAACCCACAGGCGCACACTGAAGGCAGTAAGTATCCTTTTTACACTACCAGCAGCTGCTTAATTTGCACAAAACAAAAAAATCTTTTCAGTATCACCTGTCACCTTATACAGATTTCATCAAATGTATGTTGTTTTGGTGAAATCCTGACTAGAAATGTAGTCCTCATGTAGAGAGACAGGTTTATTATGTGTCCATAAAATACAGTTCATCTTCCAAATGCGGCTTCTGCCAATAGTTTCCAATCCTGAACACCAATTTACTTAAGCTCTTTTCTTTGGCATCCCTCTTCAGTCTGTAGGACCACATGATTGAAAGCTTGGTACCTTTTGTGTGAAAAACAGTTCCTTCAGACTGCCGTAAAGTCCCGCTTCACACACATGCACAGACTAGAAATTGCAAGCTATCAGATTTGATATTGACAGTAACAGAATGCCAACACCAGAACATAGTTGGCTGGAAGCTAACTGCTATCAATGAGCCATCACATTTTCAGATCTGGCTGATTCCATTTAAAGCGCACAGACAAAATCAGAACAGCTGCTGTTAAGTTTTCTTCTCTGATATTCAACATCTTTTCAGCTATCATAAGTCAAATACAAAGTCACGGTGAATGAATATGTGACAGACCAATAAGCGTGAATTCTTAGGAATTACGATTTGTTTTACAATATGAAAGTGAGTGTATTTAAGTGAGTGCGTGTGAGTGTATCAGTGGGTTTTTGTCCTCCTATTTGTCAGACATGAAGCTGCATTATGGCGATCTGACTGACAGCACGTGTCTGGTGAAGATCATCAACCAGGTGAAGCCCACAGAGATCTACAACCTGGGCGCTCAGAGTCACGTCAAGGTAGAGTGATCCCACAAACTGCAACACACTGTGTTCCTCCAAATGAAAACCACCTTTCTGATATGACTTTGTTTGATAATCATTGTTAACTGACTTCCTATTCCCTGGAATCACTGCACATGGGTTTGTTTTTAAGAGCCAGGCAAAGGAAAAGAGCTGATAACAGTCTTGATAACAAAGAATGGGGATTCCAGCTGCATACTGTAATCAAAGTGAATTTGAAACTGTGTAGTTAGACAAGATAAATATTGAATGTTATGTGTTTCTTCCAAAGTAAAACCGGTTT